GCCATCCAATATAATACTCACTAATTTTCAGAATTCTAAGGTGTGTGTTAAGGGGGAGGCCACTCTTAAGGTACAGCAAAAGGATTTTGAAGGTCCCTTAGATGTGTTGGTTGTTGGGGGTGAACATACGAGTCTTATTGGACTCGATTGGTTCAAGGCTCTGGGAATCCAGGTTACTGGGCTGCATCATTTGCAAACATGGAGCTTGGCAGAAGTCTGTAAGGAGTTTGCAGATGTGTTTAGTTCAGAGCTTGGATCCTATAAGGGGCCTCCAGTTTCACTATGGTTAGACCCAACCATAACACCCATCAGGGTTAAGCCTAGGAGGGTACCTTTCACTCTCAAAGGCAAGATTGATGCTGAGCTGGACAAATTGCTCCAGTGGGGTATTTTAGAACCTGTAGATTCTAGTCCATGGGAAACCCCCATAGTAACACCTCTAAAGGCTAATGGGGACATATGTATATGTGCAGACTACAAGTGTACACTGAACAAGGCACTGCAGCAGCACACTTATCCAGTACCTGTAGTAAGCCACATCTTAGCTTCCCTCAAGGGGGTGGGGCACATTTTTGCAAAGCTTGACCTGGCACAGGCCTATCAGCAGTTACCTGTTGATGAGGCAGCTGCTGAGGCTCAAACTATTGTAACTCATAGAGGAGCATTCAAGGTCAAGAGTCTGCAATTTGGGGTAAATGTAGCCCCTGGCATATTCCAAAGTGTCATGGAGAGCACACTTCAGGTTATTCCTGGAGTCTGCCCATATTTTGATGATGTTCTCATTGCCGGTGAGTCATCTCAAAACTTGGCAGAGAGATTAAGGGCTGTCTTGCTTCGGTTTAGAAAAGCAGGCCTTAAGTTAAAGAAGGACAAGTGTAAGATAGGAGTCAATTCTACTGACTTCTTAGGATTCAGGATAGATGCTCAAGGCATTCACCCTGCTGAATCTAAGTTGCAAGCTATCCAGCAGGCCCCAAGCCCTAAATCTAAGGCTGAGCTGCAAGTCTTCTTGGGGCTATTAAACTTTTATCATGCATTTCTCCCATATAAAGCTGCAGTAGCAGAGCCCTTACACAGGATCTTAGACAAACAAGCCTGTTGGCAGTGGACCAAAGTCCACGAACAAAGTTTCAATGAGGTTAAAGCCTTGCTCACTTCTAATGCAGTGTTGACTCACTTCAATGAGCAACTATCTGTTTGCATTGCCTGCGATGCATCTCCCTATGGTGTTGGAGCTGTACTTAGTCATCTGAAGGATGACGGTACTCAGGTTCCTGTGGCCTATTATTCTAGGACTCTGTCTTCTGCAGAGCATGATTACGCTCAAATTGACAGAGAAGCATTGGCTATAGTGGCAGGCATTAAGAAATTTCATGATTTCTTATATGGCCACCATTTCACAGTCTACACTGACCATAAGCCTCTGCTGGGGTTGTTTACCATTACCAAACAGACCCCACATATCCTTTCCCCTCGTATGCTGAGATGGTCCATTTTCCTCTCAGTATATGATTATACAATGGTTCACAAACCTGGAAAAGAAATGGGTCATGCTGATGACCTGAGCAGATTGCCATTGAACAACTTGGAGCCTAATCCTGCTCCAGCTGTTAATATTCTGTCCATTCAAGAATTCCCTGAGTCTCCCCTCAATGCTAGAGATTGGTTTTCCTCAACCAAGTGCGTTCTCACTTGAATCGCTGGGCCTATCTCTATCCGGAACCAGGGGCCATGGTTAACATCATTGTGACCAACCTGGAGGGAGAAGCATCTGAATGGCTGAACAATCTATATAGTGAGCAAGCCCCCGAATTTGAAGATCCCCATCTCTTTCTCTTAAGACTGAGAGAACGATTTGAAGACCCATCCATTGGCCTCAAAGCAGCAGGACAAATTCACAAAATAAAACAAGCCGGGAGGCCTGTCCTGGAGTACGTGTGAGAATTCCGCAAGATAGCAGGTCGAATAGACGGGTGGCCTGAGCAGTCCCTCATCCATTACTTCATCGAGGGATTAGACGATCACCTCTCTCTATCTATCTATCGAGAAGTACCTGATCGGCTGCAGGAGTGGTACCAGACGGCCGTGAAGCTGGATGTTAAGCTCTCTCGCTATAAGAAGCCTCCCTCTCCTGGAATTGAAGCAAAACCAGAACGATCCAGACGACAACCAACCCCCTGGAGACCCCCAACAACTACGTCTACCGAAAGACCCAGACCACCTGTGGGGCCACCGCTTGCATGCTTCCAATGTGGACAACAGGGACAATATACAATATTGTATATTGTATATTCTTGCTTTTGACAGTGGCTGCAGAAACTGCCCTGATCACACGCTTACACGTGTGCTGACGTGGGTATTGTCAGGATGGCCTGACAAGTGCCCTGCTGCAGAGTTCCAAAACTTCTGGCATAAGAAGCATGAGTTGTCCACGTTCAAGGGATGCTTGTTATGGGGTAGCAGGATAGTAATCCCAGCCTCATTGAGGTCTAGAATCTTGATCTCATTACATGAGGGACATCCTGGTATAGTCAGGATGAAAGTGCTTGCGCATAGCCATCTGTGGTGGCCTGGCCTTGATAAAGCCATTGAGGCCCAGGTGCATGGGTGCCAAGTGTGCCAACAGTCCTGGCCTGAAATGCTTCAGGCCCCAGTTCATAGGTGGGAGGAAACTCAAACCCTGTGGTCTAGAGTGCATATAGATTACGCTGGGCCCTTTCCGGGGCAATTCTTTCTGGTTGTTGTTGATAGCCATTCCAAGTGGCTAGAGGTTGTTCCTGTGTCCTCCACTACTACTGCCAAGACTATCCAGGTGTTGAGGGGAATTTTTGCAGCTCATGGCCTTCCAGATGTTCTGGTTTCAGATAATGGTCCTCAATTTACTTCTTCTGAGTTCCAGGCTTTTCTTCAGGCCAACCTGATCCGCCATGCAACTTCGGCTCCCTTCCACCCATCCTCCAATGGAATGGCAGAGAGAATGGTGCGCACCACCAAGGATGCCATCAAGAAACTGACTTACAGTAATTGGCATCACAGGTTAGCAAACTTTCTTCTTGCACATCACACCAAACCTTGCACTTCCACAGGGAAGAGCCCTGCTGAATTCCACTGGGTCACCGGCTCATCACTAAGCTGGACAGGCTACACCCTGACCGGGTGGCATCACAAGTGTCACAACCATGGACACCAAGGAGACTGCAAGTGGGTGATCCGGTCTGGACTCGAAACTGTGGGCCTGGTCATCTCTGTGGTCTGCAAGGTCTCAGGACCTTTGTCCTATGAAGTGACCTTGGAAGACGGCCACTTCGGCGGCACATAGACCAGCTGCGTTGGAGACTGGACTCTCACCCTTCCACTCCTGGCTCTGCTCTGGGGGGGGGAGGAGGATTATAATGTGCATTCTGGGGATCAGTATCTCAGGTCTTCCCTAGCAGCTGATGAGGCCATGAATGTCCCATCACAAGGTTCCGCAAGTGCTCGGAACAGGAATTCATTGGGCAGGGGGTCTTCCCGCACATCCACATTTACTCCAGACAGGAAGTCACAACGGGGGTATCCACATTATTCACACACAACAGATAGTGGTCCAGATAGGGAGACTGACCGGGGGTATCCACACAACTCACAACCTACAAGAGAACTGGAAACACAGCAAGGGAACTGGCCCAATTCTGCAATTGCTCCCAGAAGGAAGTCCTCTGGAAAGGGGGTAAACAGAGAGGCAACTCCTGATTCTGGCACTTCAGGCACAGCCTTGGGATCCATAGGGTACTGGGGCACTGCAGCTACCCCGGAATCTCCATCTGCTGGCCTTGGGTTCCAGGGACAGTGCTCCCAAGAAAAGTCCATTGTGGAACTGGGGAGTACCACCCCTCCAAGGGATGCTGGCTTGGACTTAGAGGATCCAGCCAGACAGCAGATGGGCAGGTCAACCGGGTATTTGGGGCAGCAAAGTCCTGGCCTGCCAAGCCTGGTAGGTGAGCAGGTAGGCCAGGGTCACCTGGGGAAATTGGGCAGCAACGTCTTGGCCCACCTAGCTTAGTGGGCATGCAGGGGGGCCAAGCAAACTCTCCTGGTCCAAGGAAATCACAACAGGCCAAGTGCCCACCCAAATATCTTAAAGATTTTGTGAAATTGCTGTCCAGTTCAAGGGGTGATACTCCTAAGGTCACTGACTAAAAATGTTATTTTGTTTTATTTTATGATTTCGGGTACATACATTCACCAAAACAATGTGGAGGGGGTTTTGCTTGAAGGCAACCTCAGGCATTCCATTTCCGTGCATTTGATTGTTAGAATGTATAACACTCTTCCCAAGGAAGGATGTTGAGGATGTCAGGATTGTTTCAATCTAGGGGGGAGGGGTGTTGTGTCCTGAGCCTGCACAAGCAGGCTCGGGACGTTGCAATGGTCCCAGGCATTCCAGAAGCTGCCTGGGACCAGACTGAGTGGCGCCAGCCTTGCACGCATGCACAAGGTGTGAAAGCGCTCTGATTGTTGCCATTGTGTCTGGGGATCTGGTCATATAAAAAGAGGCCTGCGTGCCTTTGTTGTGGTTTTGCTGTTAAACAAATAAAGAGCTATTAATTGCACAATGAGTTTTCATCATTCGCCCACGATCAAAGGACTTAACAACAGATGGGATTGCACAAGATGGATGCACTCTTAAGTCCATGTATCCCTTTTGATAGTCATCCTAGCATCCATCTTACCTCTGATATTCTTTCACTTCCTTCTCTTGAGGAACTGTGTCAGAAGGGAAGCCATACTTACAGTCATGGAAATACACAATTCTTTCAAAAGACTGTTTTATCACAGTCCAGACATCCATATCCTCTATGTCAGAAGCAGCTGCACAAGGGTTGAATAAGCATTCAAGGCTGTATTTTCCTGGCATACAGAATTTCCCCAGTCAGCAAACACACCAATTTCTCTTAACTGCCCCAGTTGTATGACCCACAGTTCAAAATTACTTACTAATATATCTCTTCTTTTCTAAGCTAAATGGAAGAAGCTTTCTAACCCAAAGAACACAGAGGAGCGCAACTTCTATGTGAATCCTTACATGGTTGTGAAAGTGCCAATGAGGTTCCAACTGGGCATGTTTGAAATTGGGCATGATGATGAAACATTGTGTACTATTTTGAAAATGCCCTGTGAAGGTCACACTGTGGCACATTTTATTCTGCCTGACAAAGGGCAGCTTGAGAGGGTGGCCAGCAGCTTGTCACATGTAGTTTTATAGAAATGGAAAAGTATACTTTCGAAAAGGTAAGTAAGATAGATGAAGCACAACAATGGTGGGATGAGCTTCTAAAAGCAGGAATGTCTTTAGAATGTCCTTTCAGACTGCTTGCCCACTAATGACAGATCCTAGAAGTCATTCAGCAACATCTGAAGGGACACAAGCTTCCTACCTACATAGACAAAGAAAGATCTCCCTCTGTCTCTGTCTCTCAGAGGAGGTGGGGGAGACAAGTCAACACAAAGTTAGACCGCATGAAACCAAATCAAAACAGCGATTGGCATAAACCAACTGCAGACTAATTACCAGCCAGGTGTTCTTATGAACAAGCCTTCAAACTAAAAGCCATATTACTGAGTTTCAGCACTTATAATTCATGCAATTGTTGAAGCTAGAATAATTTGGGTACCTATTCTTTTGGGATGGTGATTACATTTGAAATTTTGAAAATATTTTGGGCAAGTTGTCAAATTAACTGTCACTGAAAGTTTTTCCATTCTTAACATATTTGTAAATTGCCCATAGTTTGAATTAAAGCATATGTTTTCTAGAAATCAGATACATAAGGTTCAAAAAAGCAACTTGCGGAAAAACCAAGACAAGAAAAAAATCATCACTCTTTTGAATTGTATTTTCTGCTCCACTCTTTATTTTAAAAAATCCAACAGAGGCCCAGTAATTAAATAATACAAACAAATAAGCTTGTCCAAGAGCTAAAGGTGTCCAAAGTGTATGTTGATATGTGAGAATGATCTTGGCAGATTGCAGTAAGATTTGGATTTTGTATAGTATATTTCCTGAAAGTAGTATATTCTCCTACACAGATAGATTAAGAGGAGACATAGAAGAAATCCTTAATTCTCTATTTTGTCTAGTCTGCCACCTTGTGGTCAATAGATTATGAGTTACTGAAGAACCTGTGTTACTGGATTCATACCCAATGACACATCCTTGAAAATTGGTAACTAGCCCAATCAATTGGCAGACATTATTACTGTGCCTGTAAATTGGTTTTTATCTGAAAAAAGGTGTTCAGGGCAGATAATAGCAAAATAAAATACAGAAAGCATTAATAAAATGTATAACAAATATGATCGACATTTTACATTAAAACAATAAGGAAAAATGTTGAAAGAATGTCATGCTAAGTTGTAGGGAAGCAGAAAAGATCAAGGGGTGGAAAGAGAGGTGGAGCAACAGAAAAAAGTATCTTCAGACCAAAATAAATTGACTCGTTGCAAATGATGCCTTATCGTAGAGGGTACAGGTAGTTCTCGGCTTACAAATATTTGTTCAGCAACAGTTCAAACTTATGATGGTCTTGGAAATAATAATTTACAACCTAACCTCACATTTACAACAGTCATACCACCACCACCACCACCACCACCACAGTCATGTGAACACAGTTCAGGTGCTGGCAACCAGCTCACATTTACCACTGGTTGCACCATACTTCAGTCACAAATTTGCAATTTGTGACCTTTCCAGCAAGCAACATCAATTGGGAAAGCTGGATGCCCTTAATGGCCATATGATTTGCTTTATGAATGCAGCTAGAAAAATCTCCACTCAAGAAGACTTCTTTGCTGTTCATACTGATAGATTATTAATTAATTGATAACAGTATTCAATTGAGAATGTGTTGGAAGTCAGCACCTACCTACCCCCCTCCCCAGAGAAAGAAACATTTTGGGAAATATTAAACAGATGTAAAGGTAATGCTGTAATTATTCAATAATGGAACAGCCTGTCCTGGGACATGATGGACTTTCCTTCACTGGATCTATTTCAACAGAATCTAGATGGATATCTGTCAGCGCTCAATATTGTAATTGTGAATTCTAGTCCTGGGCAAGAGATTGGATTAGATAATTTTTTGAGGGCTCTCCTTCTTCATAATCCAGTCATTTCTACCCTGCTGCCTTTCAGGTGCCTTTGGATTATCACTAATAGAATTTCTGAATGACATGGAAAATGATTTAAGGTTTATCAACTCTGAGCACAAAAACCTTGGATTCCCACAGCTGAGTTATCATTGTTATGACTAGCTGGACTCTCATCCACATTCCTCCTCCCAGCATCAACTAACTGTAAAAACAAAAGAGTAAAATGGCTGCATTTCTATCTGTTATCAAAGCAAGAACATCCGATGTTAGCAGCGTTGACACTTTGCAGATTAATTCCAGTCCTGGGCAGAAGGTTAGGAAAACAATAGAAAGTTTCCTTTTCCATTTAAAAACTATCAAGTCCAAGCCAATTTGAAAAATATAAAAATATAAAATAGGGAGAAGAGGGAATATTTTGTTCCCTGTCAAAGGAGCAGAGTAATGGTCATACGGGTACATCAAATGCATACTGTTTTACTAAAACTTAGTAAACTTAATGAATTTCCATACCATCATTGTCATCATGCTCATCCTCATCGTCATCATCATTGTAATTGTGTGTCCTGTCTGTAATACACACACATTACCACAGACACTATTTTATTGAGGATGTGGTTCATCTATCTATCTGTCTGTCTGTCTGTCTGTCTGTCTGTCTATCTATCTATCTATCTATCTATCTATCTATCTATCTATCTATCTATCTATCTATCTATCTATCTACCTATCTACCTATCTATCATCTACCTAATCTCTATCTAATTTCTATGCCTGCCCATCTCAAGCAAGTAATTCTGAGCCACCAACAAACATAAAACAGTTTAAAACAATTACAGCATAATAAAAATTAAATATATATCATTGTAGCCAGGGAACAGGACTCTACATACCCTCAGGGCCCCAGGACAGGGAACAAAGCCAGGTCTTCAAGGACTTATGAAAGACAAACAGGACAGGGTGGTCCCAAATCCTAATTATAGGACCATCTATTAGAAAAAGCATATGTACCTAATTTTTGAAGGCCATTACTATAACCAATCAACATTGAATGGGTTCTTGAATATTTCATTTATTTCAGTTGCTGAAAAAGCACTTTGTGTTTGCCAGTCTTTAGGCAATACTTAAAATAAATATTCTGGTTAATGCTTACGTGAGTATTTCCACATTACTCTGCAATCTGATGTGCATAAATAGCAGATGCAAAAAGACAGGAGACCTAGCTGAATGAATGAAAATTCTCCGTATATACAGTGAGTAATCTCATGGAGTGGAGGTGCGGGTTTAAAGTCACTGCATAAAGCTTATTTGTTTTTTCATGTAGTTTGTAAAATGTATACATTTGAAGAGACTTCTAATGTTAGAAGTGTGGATAATGATGCTTTTAGTTTGTATTCCTATATTTAGAATTATATAAAATAGCATTTTAATAGCTTATATCATTTCGCTACAATAAACATTTGTGCATTACCTGAAAAGAAGATACTTAAAAAGAAGCAGGAAAAAGAGCAAATAGATTTCAAATTTGCAGACTTCGGTTTGCCAATGCGGCTGCCATGGACGCTTCGAAGACGAGCTCAGTCTTCCTCGTCCAGTTTTGCATCACTGGGAGAGCCTGGAAAGGGTTGAACGTCGCCCTGTAGGGGCGACCATAAAGGAGGGACCCTTGCTGGATCCCACTAGAGCTGGCAAAACTCTCCAAACCAGCGGACGAAAGACCAGCCATAGAAATATGGCTCATCACTAGGCTGCAGACAGACGAAGTCACACTTACCATCAGGCAACTTTAAAACAGTGCAGAAAAGACTGGGTGAGATTTACCTTTTAAAAATCCTAACTATTTTTTGTACCTGCATAAGCTGTTAAGTATTTTCCCCCCTGTGGAGAGGGAAGGGAGAATTTAGCCCTCCCTCCAGAAACAGTGGCGACTGACTACTCAGGTAGTTTAAAACGTTGAAAAAATTAATTAGATCCCAACCAGAATTTTATTTCCTAAAATTTGTGGACTAAAAGATTCTGTATTTGTTACTCTTTACTTTCTATTTTTACTGAAGAACTGGGTTTTTCCTTAAAAATAGAAACAAAACTGAAAAGATTAAAATAACTTTGGGATTCAAAGGAAATCTTCAATTGGCAGAAGCGACATCTTGTGACTAAACTTGATACTTCAATTTGTTATTGTTTAAAGGAGACTTGGCTGACAGCCCAGAAAATAGATAAGACACATGTAAACTTGAAACATTAGTTGGGAGAAGCTCAGTTGTGCTCTAATAAGGGTCACAGACAGGTAAGGGTAGTAAAGGAAGAGAAGGTGGATATGATGAAGGACTGCAAGGAGAAGGGGACCAGGGAAGATTCTTGGGAACAGCAGAATTGATTGTACGGCCCAGAACACGGGGGAGGGGTATGCCCGACCCCAGGGAACTGATCAAAAGGGAAGGGGAGAGAGAAAAGAACAGAAAAGATGAGGCACGTAAGATTGGAAGCATATTCACGGGGGGAGAGGGGATATTTGAGAAGGGAGTAAGAATGGAGAATAGTCAGGAACAGCAGGCAGACCTGCAGATTAGGGGGGGAGGAAACAGGAGAGGGTGGGGTTGATAGGAATGGAGAAGGACAGGCAGGAATAATAGGCAGGACAGCAGTTTTGGGGGGGGGGAATTTGGGAAGGAGAGTCCAACAGGAACTCATGTCGGTAGATGGGAACAGTACTTAGGACAGCAGGTAAGGGGAGGAAGAATGCTGGAAGGAACAGCAAACAGAGCAGTGGATTGGAGAGGGGGGGAGGAAACAGGAGAGGGTGGGACTGACAGGAAAGAAGAAGGGCAGATAAGAACAGCAGGCAGGATGGCAGATTGGGGGGGAGGAAAGCTTGAGAAGGAGGGTTTAATAGGAATGGATGTTGGCATGTGGGAACAGCATGTAGGACAGCAGGTCAGAGGAGGAGGAATGCTAGAAAAGAGAGGATGGGCAGAAATGGATGAACAACAGGCAAGTCAGCAGATTACGGGGAGGACATTGGAGAGGGGAAGATGGACAGTGATGGAGGAGGGTAAACAGGAACAGCAGGTAGAGCAGCGGATTAGGAAGGAAAAGACATTGAGGAAGAGAACATCAATAGGAATGGTTGATGAAAGGCAGGAGCAATATGTTAATCAACAGGTGGGAGGGTTGAAGGAAAAGGGGGGGGAAGGATGACAGGAATGGACAACAAAGGGTGTATGAATCGGCAGGCTAGGAGAGGAAGGGAGTTGGAGGAGGGAGTTGAGATAGGAACTGGCAATGGAATGCAAAAACGGCAGGCAGACCAGCAGCCCAACAGGACTCGTGTAGTGCCGAATCAGAGGAGGCACCTTGCATTGGGTAGAGAGGAGGGATTGAGGAGTGTGTTGGTGATAACAGCGCAGGGAGGGGGAGACGGCACAAGGATGACAGAGCAGAAAAATACAATGTTAGAGTGCAAAAAAGAGAGGGCGGAACAGTTAAGGCAGTTACAGGCAATCAGGAAGAGTGGCCCTGTCACGAGGGCAATGAGTAGGCAATTGGATCAGCAAGGGGATAAAAAGAACTTTCCCACCCCCTAAGCCCCACTCTGAGGACGCTGGCAGAGGACCAGCGAAAGCTAAGTTGTTTTAATCTTGTATATAAC